TTGGAAGCCAGTGCTCTTAGGTTGGAGGCCTTTGATCTTAGGTTGGAGGCGCCATCGCTCTCAGGTGGGAGGCCATCTCCTGGGAACCCCCAGCGGCGCGGCACTGAGGACGGACGCGTTCGGGACGTCTGCCGTGCGCGGTCGTGGGACGCGGCCGACTGTGAGAACCTTTGGACCACTGGTGGCCTTTGTGGGACCAGCAATTGGAGAGTGTCTTCAGTCAAGGAGGAAAGAAAAATGTGGAAGTGTCTTTATTCGAGGAGCCCCTAGTGGCTTCTTTGCTCTTTTGGGACCAGAAGTATAGGGAGTTTCTTTAGGAAGAGGAGTAAAGAAAAAGAGATGGCAGATGATGGCAGCATTCACCTCCAAATCTGTCTCGATGCCTCAAGTGACCTCGTCAACAATACCGGCTAAAAAGGGTTGTACGTATGACCCCCACCTTGAGCCATCCAAAAAGCAGCAACTCATCACAACGTCACTACACTTACCTGGCACGGAAAACCACAAACAGACCTGAGCAAAATGGTCATCTATGATGATTCAATCCTTTGGAAATACAAGCAGGTGAATATGCTGGATGGAAAATTGAGACCCTCGAGCTTGGCCCAAAGGGTTTGGGGGTTCTTTTCAATCATCTCCAATCCAACAATCATGGAAGTGGAAAATACCCTCTTCGCAAAGGCAAAGAGTCCTCGTCCTCCTTTCAGGGCCATGTTCCACTTCCATTCTTCTTTCAGGCGAACTCGCGGCGAACTCGCGGCGAACTCGCGGCGAACTCGCGGCCAACTCGCGGCGAACTCGCCTTCGGGTTCAGATGTTCCGGTCGCCCAGCACGCGACAAATGGGATTAAATGATGACAGAGTCAGGAAACCGAATCAGCAAACCACTGAAGCAGAGTCAGGAGATCATGTTCGATTGGATTTCAATGTACACACTCCCAGCTCCACAAAACTGACCTGCTGGTTGCTCGGCGACGGTCAGTTCTGACCCTGGCTGACCCCGCCTCTCGAAGTGTCTCCACCCTGACAGTGTCAGCCGTGAACAGTGAATGGTCCAGCTGAGATGTCAGAAGTTTCAAAAAGAGGATTTGCGTGTTCTGAGGTGAAACACTTGATGCTTCGTTGTCTTTCAACGATTCTTGATGCCTTTCCCTGAAGCGTGCCATTCAGATCTTGAGTGCCTGGAGGTTAAACTGCCACTTTGGTATGTTTGGCTACAAGTGTTTCATGCTCACACTGATGCTCTTCAGCTTCTTGGCTAGTCATATTTGGGGGCACCCCGCACGCGAAGAAGCCAGAGCAAACACAGCATCGATGGCACTATGAGACTCTGCGAGAGGCTCGACCAAAGGCTCTGCATGTCTTCAAAAAGACTACACCCGCTGAAATACTTCATGGAAGTGGAGAACCACCTGCTTGGTGAGGGACAGTGGTCATTCAAGCGGCTGTTTTCCAACCACCGGTTTGGTATTCGGATTTCATGGTCATTCAAGAGGCCATGCATGGCAATGCCATCCACGTTGGCCCATGATGATCCAGGGAGTATAACAGTTCCCTTTGCAGTGGTTCCCTTTCAAACCGTCAAGCCTCACCCAGCATGGTACGTCAAGCCTCACCCATGAGTCCATCATGGTACATGAGCTAGGGCCTATCACCTGGTTGAGCAAAAAACCTGACATGACTACTACTAGTGATGGCCTCCAACCTAAGAGTGATGGCCTCCAACCGTTGAAAATCCCCTACTTATCTAAACCTTGGGTAATTATATCCTATTAGTAACAGTGGATGATGATGCTTGGGTTGCAGACCTTTCTCTCCTAATAGTAATGGGCCCTACCGAAACGACCCTACCGGTCTACTGGCCACCCGAGTGACGTTCTCCGGAACGAGCCGAGGTAGGTCTTCGAGACCTGGCGAAGGTGAGCAAGGCACCGTTCTTCCACCCGAAACAAGCAGTAGCTTCTTGTTTCTAATAGCAAACATTGTTACTACTAGTAAGGCACTTGTTACTAGAAGCGATGCACTTGTTCCTATTAGCTTCTTGTTTCTAATAGCATGCTTGTTTCCCTGGATGCAACATGATGCAACTTCCCAGTCCCAACCACTTTGGATGTGGATCTGAATTGCAAGATTGGAAGAGCCAGTTTCCGCCCCATAAGGACGCTACTAGGGGCTCCTGGTCGTACTACTAGGAACAAGAGGACGCTGCGAACGGGGCTCCTGGTCTCCGAGTCCATGGCGCCCGAGCGGTCCCACGTCGGGCGATCCATCCCGACGTCGACCATCGGGCGGTCAAAAGGTCGGGCGGTCAGACCTGGCCGAAAGCTGCCAGCACACAGACTGCCTCGGCAGGTGAAACTGCACTGGCCTCCGACCTAATAGCGAAGGCCTCCAACATAAGAGCGATGGCCTCCAACCTAATAGCGAAGGCCTCCAACTCAAGAGCGATGGCCTCCAACCTAA